AGAGAGAGAGAGAGAGAGAGAGAGAGAGAATTAATGATCAATTCATTTGACTCCGATTACACATTTTTTTAATTCTTAATCACATTACATTTAAGGGCAGGGGGTTCTTAGATACAAAAGTGACATTTCAAAGCACTTGTATGCCAATTCATGAACATGTTATCTTTGTAGACCATACCTGCATGGCTCCAGCATTTTCTCCAGCTTTGCCAGCTTCTCATATTCCGCATTTGTTGGGAGGGCAAGATTGTGCTTCTGCTGAGACAGCGTTGTGTGCAGTGCGTCTCTGTTTCGCCTCACGCGTTTGACCATCTCAAGGGTGGAATTCCACCGTGTTGGAACATCTTGCACAAGTTGTTCCTGTTCTTGTCCAAGGGAGGCTTGCTGGGCATTCAGCTCGTCTGAGTTTGCTGGACTGTGTTTGAAATGTTCGACCACTTTACAGCACTTGACCAGAAAGCCATCAAAACCCCTTTCCCGAAGTGACACTACTATAGCTCTCTGAATAACATGTGCAACGCAGGGCAAATGCTCGAATGGCAGTATCCTCCCTGCTTCCACCCTATTACGAGCGCTGTCTGTTCCAATAGTGCTGGTTTTGTCAGCTATCCCCCACTGATTAGCAACGTCAAGAAACTGCCTGGCACATGCGTCTGCAAATTGGCGCTCCTCTGTTTTCATCACACCTAATGGTCAAACAAAGATCAGAATAAGTTCACAAGCAGTAAACAACTAGCTATCATTAAGAAGCAAACATAATGTGGTGGTAATTCATGGTGTTGTGCTAATTAATAAGTAGGGTAATTAAATTATACAACAGTTAGTTCTAACCAAGTAATTTGATTGGACAAGAGACATTCCTTGAGTGCTGATATTGGAGTACAACAGCACTGGGACATTTTACAGACAATATCAGGCGTTCTAATGTTATGTTGTGTTATTTTTGTGTTGCCTGGCAACAGCTTTCCAGATGGAACTATTTGTGTTGGCGGAGCTAAATAAATGATTGAATAAACTAACAAATTATAATCTTATGTCGCTTATTATTGTTAAATAAGACATTTTGCTCTTAGAACTGTTGTATACAGGTGCTGGCCAGTAAATTAGAATATCATCAAAAGGTTGAAAATATTTCAGTAATTCCATTCAAAACGTGAAACTTGTACATTATATTCATGCAATGCACACAGACCAATGTATTTCCGATGTTTATTACGTTTAATTTTGATATTTATAGGTGACAACCAATGAAAACATCAAATCTGGTATCTCAGAAAATTAGAATATTCTAAAGGCCAATGAAAAAATGTTTGTTTCTCTAATGTTGGCCAACTGAAAAGAATGAACATGAAAAGAATGTGCATGTATAGCACTCAATACTTAGTCGGGGCTCCTTTTGCCTCAATAACTGCAGTAATGCGGCGTGGCATGGACTCGATCAGTCTGTGGCACTGCTCAGGTGTTATGAGAGCCCAGGTTGCTCTGATAGTCGTCTTCAGCTCCTCTGCATTGTTGGGTCTAGCGTATTGCATCCTCCGCTTCACAATACCCCATAGATTTTCTATGGGGTTAAGGTCAGGCGAGTTTGCTGGCCAATCAAGGACAGGGATACCATGGTCCTTGAACCAGGTGCTGGTGGTTTTGGCACTGTGTGCAGGTGCCAAGTCCTGTTGAAAGGTGAAGTCTGCATCCCCATAAAGTTGGTCAGCAGCAGGAAGCATGAAGTGCTCTAAAACTTCCTGGTAGACGGCTGCATTGACCCTGGACCTCAGGAAACAGAGTGGGCCAACACCGGCAGATGACATGGCACCCCACACCATCACTGACGGTGGAAACTTTACACTGGACCTCATGCAACGTGGATTCTGTGCTTCTCCGCTCTTCCTCCAGACTCTGGGTCCTTGATTTCCAAAGGAAATGCAGAACTTGCTTTCATCAGAAAACATAACTTTGGACCACTCAGCATCAGTCCAGTCCTTTTTGTCCTTGGCCCAGGCGAGACGCTTCTTGCGCTGTTTCTTGTTCAAGAGTGGCTTGACACACGGAATGCGACACCTGAATCCCATGTCTTTCATGAGTCTCCTCGTGGTGGTTCTTGAAGCGCTGACTCCAGCTGCAGTCCACTCTTTGTGGATCTCCCCCACATTTTTGAATGGGTTTGTCGTCACAATTCTCTGCAGGGTGCGGTTATCCCTAGAGCTTGTACACTTTTTTCTACCACATTTTTTCCGTCCCTTCGCCTGTCTGTTAATGTGCTTGGACACAGAGCTCTGCGAACAGCCAGCTTCTTTAGCAATCACCTTTTGTGTCTTGCCCTCCTTGTGCAAGGTGTCAATGATTGTCTTTTGGACAGCTGTTAAGTCAGAAGTCTTCCCCATGATTGTGGTGCCTTCAAAACAAGACTGAGGGACCTTTTAAAGGCCTTTGCAGGTGTTTTGAGTAAATCAGCTGATTAGAGTGGCAGCAGGTGTCTTCTATATTCAGCCTTTTCAGAATATTCTAATTTTTTGAGATACCAAATTTGGAGTTTTCATTAGTTGTCACTTATGAATATCAAATTTAAATGTAATGAACATTGGAAATACAATGGTCTGTGTGCATTGCATGAATATAATGTACAAGTTTCACGTTTTGAATGGAATTACTGAAATATTTTCAACCTTTTGATGATATTCTAATTTACTGGCCAGCACCTGTAAAAGCAATATCACTCGAGAGGGAGTGTGTCAGACTGGCCAGCTGGAATACAAGGAGTTGAGCTTGTAGAAAGCGTGGTTTCACAGACGCGGAAGTGGTAGCATCGGTGAAACGCCGGCTCGCGGTTTGATAAAGGAATCCCCGAGCGTCAATGAAGTGACACGGAGATGCTGGGTTTTCCAGAGGTAAGTGAGAGCACTTGCTGTGAGCTGATAATTCGTAGGATGGATAAGTTGATTGGAAACTCTGTTCATGGATCTGAAGAAACGGTGAGCTGGGGAGGCGACTTCCATATATAGTCGCGGATAGTGACGTAGGTGTGACGTGGAGGGAATCCCCGCGAGGAGCATGCTGGGAGTTGTGGTCCGGGGTGGAGACCGGCTAGCTGGAAGAGGCTGGTTTGGGGACTTTGGCTCTGACAGAGTGCTGTTGTGCACTGGTGTGATTATTTACGTATTAATTATATGAATCACACAAATGCAAATATTCAGCACAACAGCACCCCCTCTCACATGATAATGGCTATTTATGAAATTTAAAATGACAGCCTACCTAAAGCAAAGGAGTGAAATTCCCAGCTGGCATCGATGAGGTGTGCAGTAACACAAAGATAGTTATCATTATTGACAGATGTCCAGTGGTCCCCAGTCAGTGCCACACAAGTTGCCTCCACCAACTTCTCATCTTTCGTGGCTTTCTCTGTTGCATGCTGGTCATGTATTCTCCTCACGATTGTTCGCCTCGCAGGTAGTTTGTAGGATGAGTCTAGGGCTGCAACTAACGATTATTTTCATAATCGATTAATCTGTCGATTATTTTTTCGATTAATCGATTAATCGGTTTGTTATTGTTTAGCTATTTAACCTATACAAGTGATGGATGCATTTCAGTTAAGAACAAAAAAACATAAGAGAATTGTGCAGTTGACTGCAATCTATTTTATTGCACATGAACACAGTCAGCAGTATAAAATGAGCTAAACAGTGCAAAATATCAGTCCAGAATAATTTTTAGCATTAGCTGGAAGCCTGCTCCTTCCACCATGGATAGTGGCCTCATGTCTTTTACCAGCATGTTTAGAATAGAGTTTGTAAGTGGTATGAATTGCTGGGGGGTGAGTGTCTTCTTCCCCATGTAGTTGTCCATCGTTGCTTGTTTTTTTCTGCATAAGAAACACAAATAGACTGAAATAAGTACACATATAAAATAAAGCAGCACACACACTACAACACTAAATCAATATTATATTATTTGAATTAATTAACAATATACAGTGATCGTTTATTTTGAGGGTTACGTTCTACAAAATAGCCCGCAACAGGAGATATTCAGAAAAAAAGTAAAACATTTTTACTATTAAAAAGCTCTAAGTAAGAAGCTCATGAGGTTTTTACTTTGAGTCGGGAGTGTTTAAATTAGCCAGAGAAATGTGAAAAATGTTTATTTTGTGTAATACTGTTTAAGAAACATGATAAAAATGTGTTGTGAGGCGTTTTACAGCGTTAGATAGTAAAACAGCCTTTTAATAGTAAAAAAATGACTTTTTCTGAATTTCTCCTGTATTTAAAAATTGAAAGTGTACAACTATGCCGCGTTATATTCACCTGGACACAGCTTGTCTGTATATTTTTCTCCGCGGAGTTGTCCTTTTTTGAATGAGGAACATAGTTATGGGTTTGTGCCGTTTTTCTCTTAACGAGAACATTCTTATAAACAGACGTGCTAAATTTGGCAAGCGCATGATACACAACACGGAGGAGATTCACGATTGCATCTAGTCAATCAGAAGTAGAACACCGCAGACTGACGCGGCAAAAAAAACATGTTTAACATCCACTATAACGAACTCAGCTAAAACACTAAGTCCAGCTTGTTTATTTTCTGTTACTTACCGGGCTGGCTCTTCCAAATGACGGCTCACTTGACCGCGGTGCTCTTCCTCTGCTGCATCAGCCCCCACATGCTTTCGTCTCAAATGTGCTCCCATACTCGTGAGGTTTTTGTCCGGGGTTTCTCTTCAGTTTTGTCGCTTCTATTTTTCTTCCGTATTTCCTCTTGTTCCGCCATTTTCTCACAGCAAGATGAGCGTCAGTAACGTGATACGTCATGAAAACCGAGGGCACCCATTGGCTCATTTCTTCTTCTACGGCTCCACTGGTAGATCAGTGGCTCATTACTGCCACACACTGGCGGCAAATTTAACAGCTTGTAACCGATGTCAGATTGTGGTAAAAAATAGACTTTATGCGGTAAAATATGATTATTAAACAACTAATCGATGACTAAAAAAGTTGTTAACTATTTTAATAATCGATTATAATCGATTAAATCGATTAGTTGTTTCAGCTCTAGATGAGTCACCTGTGGCCGCCTGGAGAACAAGCTCGAGCCCATCATCTTCGACCACGCTGATGGGTCGGCAGCTCGCGGCAATCCACTGAGCAAGGAGATTAGTGAGCTTACTTGATAGAGCTGCACTGATGGGCTTGCCTCGGTTGCACTCAAACATAGTAGTTTGACGAAAACTCTTCCCCTGCGCAACACTTGGCCCAGCATCTTCCAACTTAGCTAAGGGATGCTTTGCGTTTAGGTGGTACTTGAGACAGGAAGAACTTCTACAGTAAACAAATTCCGCATTGCACAAGGTGCAAACAACTTTATTCTTGTCAAGGTTTCCATTGGGAAGCTTCTTAAAAATAAATTTTCCCTGGAGCAAACCCAGCAGCTTCATAGGTGCATCCATGTCGGCACGTCACGTTTGAAGATTCCTCTGGCATTAAAGATGTTCTCTTTCGCGCATATACATCCGCGCCTTATATGTCGATGATCCGCGCCAACCAGGTATCCATCCGCGCAATGTGAAGAATAGATTAACGGCGTCTTTTTTTATCACGCGATAAGAGTCTAGCTTTGCCGCAGCACGTTAACGCCGATAACGGCCCACCCTAATAATATATATCCATCCATCCATTTTCTTCCGCTTATCCGTAGTCGGGTTGCAGGGACAGCAGCCTAAGTCAAGAGGCCCAGACTTCCCTCTCCCCAGCCACTTGAGCCAGCACTTGTGGGGGAATCCCAAGGCGTTCCCTGGTCAGGTGAGAAACATAAGGCGTGTTTCATCTACAAGAACTTCTGGGTAGATTTACAGGAACCTCCCCACATGCGCGTGTCTCCACCTGAGCGGGCCGTCCGAACGGCCGTTTTCAGGAATCTTCTGAGTACCTGCTCTGGAGTAGGTACTCCGAACGGCCCGGTGGAGTAGCTGAGCGGAACCTTTGGTTAACTCACGCTGATTGGTTGTAACTTAGTAGGAAATTACATCAGCAGCTGTCCAAAACAACCGGCAGCAGTAAAATTTGAAGAGTAGCTGGTGAAGCAGAATGAAAGCCAAAACAAAAACAAAAAAAGCACAGATCGCACTTAAAATTTAACTCCTGACACCGGAAATCTCGGTGGAATGTCCCCACAGCTGTTGGGGAAAATGGGGAAGCGGGTCTACTCTGAGCCCCTCCCAGATGACCGAGTTTTTCACCCTAACAATATATATATTGTGATATGTTCTTTTCAAACTCCCATACCAGATGAATTACAGCAGAACAGCTAATTCTGAAAAGTATAGCATGCCATTTAAATAAGAACAGGTCTTCTAAATTACAAAAAAGAAACACAAATATGTTCGGGAAACCACAGAATCTCTTCTCCTCTAGCATATCTGCTACTTACCACATGGTCAGATTTATGGTGGTTTTTTCCTCCTGAAGGAATGATTTTAAGCTTGCTAAACTTCCAGCCAGGGAGGAGCCTAAATTCATAAGGTGATGACGAGCAGGTTTGTGGAGTAAGGGCTCCCACTTATGACGTGACTAGGAAGGCTTGCTCAGAAAAGGAAATGTTCTCTCCCCTTTTTACACTTTCTAATTTGCAAATAGAGTAGATCACACATGGCTTTGGCATTTAGGTGTGCTACTTTTGATCACCCAAACTGTCTTTATTCAACAGCAACAAGGAAAATGTTGGTTTAGAGTCTTTATCTCCTTTAATGTTCAAAACTTGTTTAGATAAATACATAATGTCTCAAATAGTTTTTAAATTTGCGCAACAAGACAATTCTCTTATGAATAAATCTAAAATACAACTAAATGAGGTGAAAACGCTAAATTCTAAATTGTTTGGGTTTTTAAGTAAAAAAAAAAATAAAAACTGAAATAATATTGATACACTTTTCCAAACCGATTATTGAAGCCCTTAACGCAGAGAATGAGCTGATCAGAAAGGCCAGGTCCCTGATCGTCGTCTCCTGACGCGCTGGGGCGTCCCGATTCATCATATATTTGAGGCGTGGTCACTATAGACTGTACATACTGGACAAACGGATTCCATTGGCTTCAATAACACGTTTGTTGTCTATAATGGGAGGTGGCCACCACCGCCATTTTGACCGTGTCACAGGTTCCGTCCAGCCCAGACAATTCCATAAAAGGGAAGAGAGGAGGCGCTGAGGGTGTGGCTGTAAGGCTGGGCTCGAGTGACGACACCCAGGCGAACTAGCTACGAGCTAACCTGAAGCTAACCCTGGCTAACCCAAAGCTAAAGCGGAGGTGGGAGCCGAGCTAACGGATGTAGCCACCTAGCTTCAACCCAACCGGAGCTAACTGGAACACCCATCGACCTGAACCTCACACGGAGTTTAGGTGGAGGTTTTCTGCGCCTGTTCGTGAGAAGTACCTGTATTAAAAAAGTTTTAAATTGGTAAGTTTATAATTTATTTCCGTAATGAATACATTTTGCTTTGAGCAAGTTTTCAGTACAGTTTTTTTCGGCGCTATCACTCCTGAGTCGCACCAGCCATTAAATGTATAATGAAGAAGAGAAAATATATTTAAGTCGTATTTTGGGGGGACATTTTATTATCTTTCTTACAAAATCCGAGACCAAGCGTTTCACATTGCAACACAAGCACCGGTAACCATAACAGAATGAACAGCCAGCAGAGGAGAGGATGGCGGTGTTTCAAACCCTCCCGGCCGGCGTGTAGAGCTCATTCCTGGGCTGGAGCCGGCCCTCAGCACCCCGCCACAGGCTCTAACAGATGCTGGCGGTGTTTCATATATTTCCAAAACGTAATACTTGTTTGTATCTTGTACAGCCAACTAGCCTTTATTCTGGACTCAGTACAATTTACCAAAAGTAAAGAGACATTATACAGATGAAGTAAGCACAAGATAACTTACTGGAAGACACAGAGTTATCATCAGAACCAGAACAAGAGAGCCTGATAACAGTCATGTGAAAATAAGTTAAAAAGTATGTATGTATAATAGTAATAAAAATATATTAGAATTAGTGTAACTCACTGTGATCCAAACAAATCAGCCATAGCTGATTAGTAAATATGACATGAGGTCTGGGAGTTTTTAAGTTTCATTCTTTTATTACATTTTTTTCTTAGATCTATTAAAAGGTCACCATGGCAGCCTGTGTGTCAACGTCAGCTACACAAAGCAGCAAGTGTAAGTACCAAGTACTTGTCTTGACCACTTCATGAATGGTTTTGTACTTTAAACAGCTAGGCCAAACCTGTTATTTTTTCCTCCATAGCCATTTGGATCATTGGAGACAGCTGAGTGAGGCGTGGTGCCCAGAGAGCTGCAGAGACAACCTTGGCCTCCCTGACGTCTGTGTCTCTTGGTTTGGTTGGGGCGGACCATCGACATACATACATGTGCCGACACTTTGCGCCCTGTTTTATAAACTGTAGTGTTAAAAATAAATGTTTTTGCTCAATTACTGGAATTTCTTTGGTTAAAGACAAAAGTGAGGAATAATCATTTACAAGTTATTTGTACAACAGGCCCATTTTAAATCCCAACAGTTTCTTAGCAGACAATAGAAATGTGTTCTTTACTAACTTTACTTGGTTTGAAAATCTTACTAAAATAAACTTGAGTGCCGTATTGCAAAACCCAATCATACTTGTTATGTAAACATTAGCTTTGTAGATATTTTTTACAGATATATATTTGTGTGCAACAAAAACCAAACTTAAATAATTTGTCATTCTTTATTGAAAAACAACAAATACAGGTATACAGAAGTGTGGGAAAATGATAATGTGAAAGTATTGCACTATAAATGAAGTGAGATGAGATGAAGGTGAGATGAAGGTGGACGCCAGCGGGCTGGACGCCGGACGAAGAAACCTGGAGACGGATCGCTCAGACAGGAAGGGAAGAGCTTCCTCTTACCTTGATGGAATTAAAGTTAGCAGTCGTCTGAACGCCCAACCGTACGGTCTGAGGTCAAAGGTCACAGGAAACACACCAGTCAGCAGTCATACAGATGCATAAAGATAACTGTAGCCATGGCAACCAGCTGACATGTCCCCACTTTCACCAGCACCTGGTGCCTGCCGGGTCACCTGAATTCCTGTGTGATGTCAGCACGGTCGGCCTGTGACTGCTGCCATCAGAGGTGACCTCTGATCAGCTGAATGAACTCACCTTCCAGGGTGACGCCGTGTTAGAGTCGGCTTCATCCTGTAAACAAACAAACAAACAAATGAGTGGTAACATAAACACCACGTCTGGTTCTGGTGGAGGCGGAGGACAACATGCACCTTTCCAGGAGCAGAACCCAGATGTTCTTGTTGCTACAAACAGAGACAAGCAGAGTTAAACCAGGAAGTGAGAGGGACCAGCTGCTGCAGACAGGTGACGCTCACCTGAGCCTGAACCATAGGAGCCTCCTCAGCCATCAGACCTTCTGACTCCAGTTCAGATGCCACCTTGGTGATGTCCCTCAGGCGGGACTCGTTGGCCTTCAGGTCCTGCAGGACAAAAGCACCTGCTGATTACCTTGTTGCGTTCGGGTTAACAGGTCTGGTGTTAGAACGTGGTGGATAAGATTGTTCTGACGGGCCGAGGGTTCTGAACTCACCCTGCAGGACTGGGCCTGCTCCTTCAGGGCCTGGATGCTGCTGCCGTAAGCCGACAGGTCCGACATCAGGGCCTCGTGCTTCTTCAGGAGATCCTGTGGAGCAGAACATCAGAACCTTCAGCTCGTCTGACACAAGTGGAGCTTTCTCGCAGCGATGGTCCAATCGGATCCGCCACCGTAAAACAAACCCTGCTCAGTTCACCGCAGACGTAGCTCTGCGGGTGTTTAGTGGAAAAGCGTGAGCCTTCTGCCGGCTGCCACATGTCATGGCTGCTCTGCAGCGGGAACACACATCACAGCTTTTAAACCGTTTGAAATAAGAGCGACGGGAACACGTTTGTCATCACTTCTTGTGCGAGGCCAGCACTTCTACCCCTAACCCATGAGACGCTCAAACGAGCAACGACGTCTGGTAGACAACCGAAGGAAATGACAAATACAGAAACACTAATTATGAAGGACTGGAAAGCGAGCAAAGAAAAGCGATTGGAGTTTCTCAGGAAGGGACTTCCATACCTCGGCCAAGTCCTCGTCTTTCCCTTAGTCTGGACTTCCAACGATGGGCTCCTTCTCCCTCATCCAGGACTCGGCCTCATTAGCATCCCCAAAGTACTGCCGGGCCTGCAGAGAGTCCTCCAGGTCCTGCCTCCTCTGGGACGCCTTGGCCTTCAGCGTGTCCCAACGTCCATGAAGCTCCCACAGTTTAGTCTTCACTTCCTCACCAGCGAAGTGACCTGGACCCAAAAAAAGTGAGCCAGAACCTGCAGACACCTCAGAAACATGTCAGGACCAGACCTGCTCTACCTTCCTCCACCATGGTCTCTCCTTTCTGGGTGACAGCCTTGATGCGAGGTTCATGACCTGTGATCTCAGCCTGCAGAGCCTGGTGCTTCTTCAACAGGTTCTGGACACCAATCAGGTCCTTCCCTGAGGACACATGTTAGAGTTCAGCATTATGCAGTAGACAGACCAGTTTAACCCAGGGGTTTCTTTCTTCTACAATCTGCTCTTTAACTGTATTATTTCCTGCTATTTCAGCTGTTTACTTTATTTTTTCTCTAAGTGTTTTTCTCCCCAGAAGAAGCTACAATGACGTTCTGCTGAGCTGTGGTGGCCTCATGGAGGGGGCCATCAGCTAGCACACTGCTGCTAACCACTTAAACATTCTCCCTCTCCTGATGGTAACATTTTACTTTCTTTGATGTTGGATGTGGTGCTACTAGTTTACCCGTTTAATTATAGATTCACTAGGATAAATACAATAAAGTTTATCTCTCACCAAATAGAATATTTACTGTGGCGAGCCCGTGAAGAGGTGTATGAGAATGCGACAAATTTGTCTGTTAAAAAGTCTGTTTTGTACAAAAAACACAATATCATCACACTATTTTGGACCGATACATGACGGTCAGGTCCGGCTTGGGGAGAAAATATGACACGTCTTTCAGGATGGACTTCATCTTTGGTAGCTGGCGAAGCCGGGAAAAGCAGGATCTAACCACCTGGCTAATGTGGGAGTCCATCCGCATCTCTGGGTCCAAAACCACCCCCAGGTTAGTGATGGTTGGCTTCACTAAGCTGCAAAAACAGGGTTGCAGGACAGGACTAACTGCAGTGGGAGAGGGAGGAACAAATATTCCAGTTATAAATATTAAATATTTGAACAAATAAATATTTGTTAAAAGGAAGAAACTGATGATGACTTTAAGATTAGAGGAATGTTCTAGAACGGGTCTGGAACCAACGATGGCCCTTTGGATCAAATTTGGATTAAAAAAATAGCTCATGATTTTATTTATGGATGGAATAAAAATACAGGTTGTAAGCATCTTCTCAGTATCTTCATGTTGCACTACTTTCCACAGCAGAAGGACACAAAAACTGCCAGAATTATGATAAGAAAGATTTACGTTTTAATCTCAGAATCCCAACTTTTCCCAGAATCTTCACATTATTCTATGAATTCAGAGAAAATATACATTTTTCAGAGGTCTCGCTCCCCTGTTGTGGATATTTCTCAAAATTCAACCATTTTTTCTTTTTAAAAGCTTTAGTAAGAGTTTGGACTCTAAACAAGTTTTACTTTGCAGACTGCTTGTCTAAACCTTCATCAGATCTGCTCATAATAAAACATTTGGGTTATATTTAATGCCCAGGAAGATGCTCTTCCTGGGCATTAAGTTATCAAAAACAGATAAAAGTATTTTTTACCATAATTTTAACTGCTATCAGCTGATAAAAATAATAAAAAACAGCCTGATCATTAAAGGGGTGTAAGTGAAACCGCGCAGATCACACAAACCATCATGCTGTCTATATGACTTTGAAAATATAAAGTTTAATTACAGTTTGATTTATTTGACATCTGTATAATGTTTATTATTTTGTTTTTTCCCCCTAAATGCCTAACGTTTTAGTTTTACATGAATATTAGTCATTCATCACAATACATAAAGTTACAGATTTTAAATTTTAGTAGGGGAAGACTGCAGGAGGGAGCGGTAAAATACAGAAATCCCCAGCAAAAACAAGAAACTTTACGAGTCTGATGAAACCCGCTGGAGTTCCTTCAGCAGGCCTGGTGGCAGCTACAACGACCCAGTGGCTGTGCTTGGTCAATGTTATCGAGCTCAGTCCAGCTCGGCCGTGAACGAGCCGAGGCGACATCCTGCTCTGCTTAAGAAGAGGTGTTATTTTCCGCTTCAGAAGAAGCGTCCGTGTTTTACGCTTTCTCAGAGACATGTCACGTTGCTAAGTTGTTAGCGCCGCGCGCTAACACGTCAATAGGTCAGCATAGCCTGCTCGAGGTTTTAAGGGTTCAGATGAAAACACCCTACCACTCAGGCTGCTTACACATCGATATTAAGTTGTCGCTGTTGCGCTCACGCCGTAATACAGTATTAGATGCGGTTAAAGTCAGACATGAAAAACTCCACGATCGGTCAGACCGCGCAGCAGCTAGGCGCAGCAAGTAGGCGCCGGATCGGTCAGGCTGCCCGGCCTGACCGCTGGGGATTACCGGATGGAAGAATGGACACAGAAGTCTCCCTCTTAGCGCTCCGTCATATTTCAACCCATTTTTATCTTAAATGCACTGGGTTTTACCCTATTACCCATCTAAATATGCCCTATTAATTATTTTACCGTATTTTACATTTAAATTTCATGGTTAAATAGTACATGCTACATGTTAAACTGATAGTTAGCTAGCTACTTCGGTAAACTCAGCTAGTTTAAAGGTGGCAGTGACATAAAATACGAATATAGATTTTAACTTACCAAAAAAAATGAAGTGGAGACTCCTTGGACGCTCTATTAGTGCAATTAATACTACTGCAAGTCATTTTGTCCAACAATTGCACCAATAATATCCAAAGAAGAATACACAAACACAGAGACTCAAAATGCCGGAGCAGTTTCCAAGCCAGACCGAGGCTGTACTGAGGCCTTTCCACGGAGCTAGCTCTGTGGTCACGTGGGTCTGAGGCGGCGGTCACGTGTGTCGGATGCTCATTAATTATACAGAATTTTAGGCTTTCAATACACTTAAAGAGAAGAGTGAGAAAAAAATTCACCCCCCTCAGAGTTGTCATGAGTATAAACTAGATAATTTAGACAAAAACATGTTTTGGTACCAGGCTGTAAACATGTTTATTTCTGCTGTGAAATCGGCATTTTTAACATGGGAGTCAATGAGGATTTGCTCGCTTCTGGCACCAGCCCCCAGCGGATGAGGGTGGAACTGCAATTTTTCTTACTTCCGGGATGGGACCATTTTTAGAGCGGCATTGTGGGGGCTTGGTGGTCACACGCGTAATAGTTTGACGCCTTGGGTGTGAGAATGTGTTGCCAGAGGAAGCAGATAAATGGCAAACAAAAGAGGACCAAGGATCGATCCCTGCAGGACCCCCCAGCGGAGCCCCTCCCAAGAGGAAGAAACACAGAATGTCCTTTTGTGGAGATATGATCTAAACCAATCTAGAGCAGACCCTTTGATCCCAACCCATCGTTCCAAGGGATCAAGCAGAATCGCGTGGTCATCCGTGTCAAAAGCTGCCGTCAGATCTAACAGAAGCACCACAGATGTACCCTGATTAGGGTTGGGTACCTTTGACATTTGAATCTATGTGGTACTAATTCCCGGTACCTACAAATCGATACCGATACTTAACGGTACCAATTTTCGATACTTTTGAGTGTTTATTATTTTAATTCTCTTTTATAATTAAATATATATTTTTCTCAATATTTAACAATATTTGATATATATCACGATTAATAACATTCAACTGTTTGTATTTTAACATCGTCCTTGTAGTTTTATAAGCTGATAATTAAACTGAAGCAAACATCTTTACTGTGAACTAAATTTACTGTGTATCTTCATTCCTTTTGCCGTCTTTTTTCATTTGATTTTTCCTACTGGGAAGTTAGAATTTCCAAGGAGAAAGCGAACGCACCATTAGCTGATAACAACGGTGGCAACGGAAGCTAAAAAATCAAGCTAACATTATCTTAAAACATTTTATTTACCTACCGGAGCAGATTAAGATGAGGATGTCTCACTTAGATCGTTGTCACTGGTTTCGTCTTCACCCGTCACATTTAGTAAAGTGAAGCCAAACTTTAGAGCACGTTCATGTTCTTCTCGTCGGGAATTCTGAGTTCCGAGGAGAAAGCGAACGCACCATTAGCGAAACGGAAGCTAACATATCAAGCTAATTACATTTACCTACCGGAGCAGATTAAGATGGGGATGTCTCACTTAAATCATTGTCGCTGGTTTCATCATCACCCAGTTACCCATCACATTTAGTGAAGTGGACCCAAGCTTTAGCCTGCGTTCTTTCTACCCATGCTGCTCTGTTTACATCTGGTTCGCAGCGAGCGACGACATAACACTCTTGCGCATGCGCAGCTGTCTTGGCAAGTTCTCGTTATGATGGACGTGTACCGAAACGAGGCACCGTTTGAAATGACGTGAATCGGTGCTCGGTCGGTACCTTAAAAAGTACCGAATTCGGTACCCATCCCTAATCCCTGATCTAGTGATATATAGATATCATTTAAGACCCTCAGTAGAGCCGACTCTGTACTATGGCCAGACCTGAACCCTGATTGGAAAACCTCAAACAGATCAGAGTCAGCTAAATGTGACATCAGCTGCTGATAAACAACTTTCTCAAGCAGTTTCGATGTAAAAGGCAGGGTAGAGATAGGCCTGTAATTTTCGATCACAGAGACATCAGCACCAGGTTTCTTCAGCGTTGGCCGAACAATTGCTGCTTTCAAAACAGCTGAGACAACACCAGTGCTGAGACTCCCATTGATAATCTGACCAAGTGATGGGCCAAGACACGAGGCGGCAGAACATCAGGTGGAGAGCCAGAAGACTTCTGCCTTGCAACAAGCTTACTCAGCTCAGAATAAGAAATGGTATTGAGGGACCTCAGGGTGGATGGTGATGGAGGAAGTGGAACAGGGTCATTAGAGTTACCAGAAATAGCTGCTCTAATGCCCGATACTTTATGAACAAAGAATTTGTGAAAATCTTCATTTTCCAGCAGAGCTAGGCTCTTGATACACCAGAACAGAATTCAGTGTTTTGTAGAGAATCTTGGGATTCTTAGTTTGTTTCAATGATGTCAGCAAAATAGGCCGTTCTAGCAACCCTCATAGCATCCTGATAAGCAACCAGAAATGCTCTGAGCAACTCACGCGAGACCCGTAGGCCATCCTTTTTCCACTTTCTCTCAGAGGATCTACACGCCCGCCTACAAGCCTGTGTAACATCAGAGAGCCAAGGCTCCCTCCTAGGCCTAGACTTGCAAAGCTTGAGAGGGGCAACCACGTCCAGGACCTGATTACAAAGTACATCAAAGTCTTGTGAATAGTGATCAATGTTAGATGGATCAGGGTTAAAGGTCTAACCTTACAGACATACAGTCCACAAACTTTGCAACAGTTTCTGCATCCAGGGCTCTGAACCTAGTAGCTGGAGCTTCACACACAGGGACAGGACATGGCAACGTAACATCACAGAGTATAGGAGAGTGGTCAGAGAACGCAGGAGGCAAAGTCACAAGGTTCATGACAGGGAGACCAAAAGAGAGAACCAGGTCCAGGGTGTGACCCCTGTCATGAGTTGGGGGACGATACCCATTGACTTAAATTGAATAAATCTAGCAAATTCAAAAAGCCTTTAGCGAGCACATTGTCAGGACAGCAGATATGGATGTTAAAATCACCAAAAAATAGGACATAGTCATATTTTAGGATGCAATCTGCCACAAGATCACAGAAATCATTAAGAAAGTTAGAGTCTGTCTTTGGAGGGCGATAAATCAGCACAACGAGCAGGCGGAGGGAGATGCACAGTTCAAACAGGCACAGTTCAAAGGAAGAAAATGACATGGTGGGTGTAAGCTGTTTACAAGGAAAGCTAGATTTAAAAACAACAACCAGCCCACCTCTGCCCCGCGATTTAGGGATATTTAAACAGGAGCTGCCAGGTGGTACCAGCTCCAGCAGGGCGCTTGAGTCACCAAATAGGATCCATGACTCACAGATGCACAGAAAACTCAAGTCATGCTGAATAAAAAAGTCCCGAAGAATAAAAGTTTTGTTCTGCACAGACCTGGCATTGACCAGACCAAACAGGGTCTGCGGCGGGGCCGCAGCACCGGGATCGCGCACGGGCACCATCTCCTCCAGCTCAGAGCCCGTAACCAAGCGCAGACTCTCCCAGCAAACCTCACTCTGGTGAGGTCCTCGAGTCGAATGGCTGTGGCGCGGTGCCAGCTCACCCTCAGAGCTGGCCAAGTTCACAAGGCAGGGCGCAGAGTAATCCATCAGACGTCTCTGAGCCACCGGGTCACAAGCTGGGCTGAATCGGACCAGCTGCTTCTTCAGGGATCCAGGAAGTCCAGCCCGACGTCTCACGCGCCGGCTACCTCGCTTTCCCCGTCTTCTCCGATGCTTCCTTCTCGAGCTGGGGCGGACAAAAGACCGACACATCACGGCCGGGGTGGAGAGAGCACACGGGCAGTCCCAACAACAACAACGCCATCCGTGAGGTTTCCAGCGTGCAGCGCCCGCTACATCAACAGGAGGACGAATCCTCAGCAGCGCAGCTCGATCACAAGTCACCAGAGAAGCCACACCATTCAATAAAAGCATCAGAAACAACAAAAGTGCATAAAAGCCAATAAAACGCAAGGTTCCATTGCGTGAAGAGGATGAGCAGCTCGCTGCGTGCACCCGCGCGAGCGCCATCTGAACTCCAACTCCAATGGATACGGTCGAGTTTCACATGGATCAGAAATGATTGAGTCCAATTGGAGCATTTACACCAGCTTCGGTGCAGATGCAGAGCTCCAGAGAGTTTCCACAAGGAGTCTAGACCCTGCATGAGGGCCAGACAGGAAGTGAGACGTAGTTCAGCGTTAAGGATATTTAATGAAATTATTTTCATTTAATAGTTAGTTGTGAGTTGTACTTTTGAGGAATCATCAACGTGCTTGATTAAGAGGGTACACGCGGTACGAGAAAACGGCTCAGGGGGTCCACGAGTCAAAAAGGTTGGGAGCCACTGCCCTAAACCATGAGGGTGAACAACCTTTGTTTTCAGCTCATGTGAGAGTTGTTCTGAGACGCCATGTTAGTACTCTTCAGAGAATATTTAAAGAAGAGGGAAACTTACAATTGGCCCCCATGAATACTCTTTCTCATTATTGGATTCACCTGTGTGTATGGAGGTCAAGGGTCACTGAGCTTACCAAAACAATTTTGAGTTCCAATAATTAGTTCTAAAGATTTTGGAATCAATAAAATGACAACAGTGCCCAGATTTGTACACCTGCCTAAATTTGTTTAAACGGTTCTTGCTCATTTTCTGTAAATCCTTTAAACTTTGTTTCACTTCTCAACCATCACTGTGTGTCTCCCATATGATATATTTAACTGATGTATTTTATCATAACAACCAACTACAGGAAAATTGTGAAGATTAACATGGCTGCTCAAGTCTTTGCATTACATTGTAAAACAGTAAATACACAAAGCTGTTTCAAAATAAGCTTGATTAAATTATGTGACAGCTTGCCAAACTTGATGTTGCCGTGTTTGATGTGGAGAACTTTCACTTCTTCTGACTCTGTTTTTCTGTGGCTAGATGAAGCATGCTTCCACTGTGGGAAGGGCGATCAGCTGTGACTCATGTTTGTCTCATATCCTCAAACCAAACATCAGAACCCTGAGGTTTTCACCATCTGATTGCACCACCACATTTTTTCCAGAGTTTGCTGCTGTTCCCCCTTGCTGCAACTAGAGAGACAAATGTCACGCTACTTGTATCGGGCCACTTTTAAGTACAAGTTGACACAGTGTTGGACTGAAAACCTGATAGTGCCTGTAGATGCACATCTAGTGGTGTTCACATGAGGAGTGTAGGGGCCAAAACGGATGTTTTTTGTTTGTTTGTTTGTCAGCCAGGCACAGATGTTACAATGTAATCAGCTGCAGGTGAAGGACGCCAGCGAGAGGCGTGTCTGGCCATCCTTTAACTCGTCACTAAATGTTTGCTTTCTGTTGAGCGGTTGCATTGTTAACTTTTCTGTTGGCCATCTTCGTTGTTGGCCGTGATCGTTGTCATTGTTATTTACAACCAAATCCATTCAAAAAGTATAATAAAACAGAAACACAAAATAAGGAAGTCAATGGTTTATTGGAGGACGCATCACAGCAAGAGCCGCTCACCCAGAGTGAGTTTTGGATCAGAAAGAAGGAGACAAAATAGTGTAAGTGTTGGTCCTACTCTGAGCACTGACCTCTGCCATGAAGAAGGCTCAGCTGTCATATGGTTTAAGGAAAAGTTCTGTGGTACTAGTGATTTACACATGGCAGTAAATACAGCAACAGCGTACACTGTAAAACCTGATACTGTCTTGACCCACAACATGCAGAATCAATCACAGAAACAGGTAAGTGTGTAAAAAGGTTTGTTTAATTTCAAATGAGGAACTAAAAGGAGTGACGGGAACAGAAGATGCTCTGCACATGTAGCTGGATTCCAGGAGGAGGTTCTGAGGAGGGAGACAGGGTGAATATCCGGTGGGATTATGGAGATTTTTCTTGAGACGGGAGCTTACAGTTTTCAGGTAGCGGTAGAATGCACAGGGAGGGCTTGGTCAGGTCCGGGTGAGCAGAGGAGATCCAGAAGGCGAAAAACTGTTTTATCCAGAGGTGATGTAGGAGCGGAGGTTAATGAGGGCAGGTGAGCGGCTGAGAGCGGGCGGCCAGAGGAGGAGGCAGTGTGGTCTGGAGTGCAGAAGTCCGGGTTGGTTATGGAGATGGTGGAATGTGGAGCGAAACCTGAAGGAGAGCAGGGAAGAGCTATCAGGGATTTTTCAGGCGGCAGGTTATCTAGAAAGAGATACAGGTTAGAGGCTAGACGTACCCAAACAGAGTAATCATCTGGCGTGGTGAAGTGTCACACTGCTCCTTAAATCCCAGGGCCTTGATGGCGGGATCAGCTGCAGCTGGTAGCTCTCAGACACGCCCACCTGTGGACAATGCTCAGAAGAAAACAGGGTTACAGGCAGGCAGCTCACAATGGACCATGACATATAAATCCACAAATATTTAAAAATATATATAATTCTGTTCATCAGACACACTTTAAGTTGACTTAAATATGAATAGAATAACATAGAAACATAAAATAATAAATTAATAATTTTTACTTAATATTACTCATTCAAGTTAAGTTGATTTTTATTCATTTATTTAAGTCACGCTTAATAAAAAACAATAATTGTTCAGATTAATCAAAAAGTTTTAATTCCATGTACTTAAAACAAGAAAAAGGTTGAACTAACTCAACACTTTTGAGTTCTAACAACTTTTTTAAATTATGAGTTTCAGTATATTGTATTATTTTCAGCATTGAGGTTTACAGTCACTGAGGCGTCCCTCCCAGAAAAGTTACATTTACCCAACAGTAGGTCTGAGGCTTTGGACCACAGACCAGGGATAAAACCACTTCCTGGTGGTTAATATTTTCTGGTACTGTGTGTGGCTGTGGCTTATGTAAGCAGGATATGGAGAGAGGTCTCCCACTGCTGCTAGGCCTGACAAGGCTACAGGTGTTGAAAGACTATGCTGCTGAGTTATCTAATGCTCCTGCAGCTATCCTCAGCATCTCCCTTCAGGATACTGTTGGGCCACCTTTGATCACAGAAAAGTCTGACCCCCACAATCTCTGAGCCCACTGATCTGATCAAATCTGGAGAAAAAGGAAGAGATGTACTAGGAACCTGTTCAACCTCTCATCAGCCTTGAACATTTCACAGCAGCTCATAGCTTATAGTGAAGATGCTGACTACATACAAAGCTTATGACTATTTTTGCTGTTTTTCTATGGTGTTGCTGCTGGTAGCGCTATTGCTATGAGGTTAGAGGTTAAAATCCCAGCTGCAGCCTGTGGATTGTCACTGGGTAGTCCAGCTTCCTTCTATATACCTGAAACATGCCTATTAGGGTAACTGGAGAAAGTGTCTTAAGTGTGAGTGAGTGGTTGTTTGTCTCTGTGTGTCCCATGTCCCTTGCCCAGTGAGTGATTAACACAAGCTCCCTGAGACCCTTGTAGGAAGTGGTTCAGATGAAGAATGAAAAATAATGAGACCAGTTTCACATTCATTCAGTCTGCTATGAAGAGACTTCAGGGCTCTGAGTTAATCTGGTCTCAGATGTGTCTGTCTGTCTCTGTGTGTGTGTATGTGTGTGTTTGTGTGTGTGTGTGCGTGCGTGCGTGTGCACATGCATGTGTGTGGGGGTGTAAGCCCAGAGGAGAGGACAACCTAATTTCCTGGCAGCTTGGTGAGAAAAGCGTTCTGATTGGCGAGTGGTGAATACACCACAACATCCTCATCTGCCCTGTGAGAAGTGTCCTCTGACCTTAGGAATTATAGCTACTTCCTGTTTAAAGAAGGATGAACATGCGTGTAAATCTGTGTGTAAACCGCACACACAAGCTTTGTCCTGATGATGATGATAAAAAACAAACACACACAGGCACTAGTAGAAGAAATCAGAGCTGGGCCAGGGGCCATAAAGTTCACGAAAACATGATTTTAGCTGTGGCGCCCTTTATTTGGTAACTGGGCCTTAAGTGCCAGTTTACTGACCTAATCTGATTTTACGATAGTGGCAAACTGGCCATCTGTGAATTCTGGAGAATCCCAGAATGGCCGGTTTTGGCCTTCCCCCCAACCCACCTGTCAGAGATCTCCCAGGCTGTGGGAACATTCACCCTCCCATCCAGTGCCTTGAGGCCTGGTATGGCCACTTCGAATTTTGAGTTTTTCTGGTGATTTATTTCAAATTTCAAAGATTTCTGATAATACCGTATATCTGTCCATCCTCAAACATCAGCCATCACGCAGTTGAGCAGGTCTGATGGTTTATCCCTTGAGGTCCACGTGGCAGGAGTGACGAGTGAGCACCACCTCACCCCTATCACGTGGAAATCAAGTGATAAACCATCAATCTCGTTCAGTGGTTACTTTTCCTTTAGGGGTCACCCAGTAGGACAGTAGGAGGGTCAAACCAGCAGAGGTAAGACTGCTAATGCTTTTAACTTCATGAAATGAGCTTTGTTGGTTTTTATGCTGAATTTGCATATATTGGTGAATATTAAGCACGTTTTTGGAAATATTTTGCTGTTATCGTCTGTCAGTGTGACGCATACAAATGGTGATTTGGCGTTCCCTGGTCACCACTAGGGCTGTTGCGATTGAGGAATTCCCCCTGCGGTGAGTCAGGGCTTCTCAATATTGCGATATGCGATATTATTGCACCCCGTTTTTATTTATGTACTTAGCAAATTTGTTTGTTAATTACTAAACTCATGGCAATATTTCCTTTGGAACATTGTGCTTACAAATTTAAAAAAATGTTAGAAAAAAATACATGGCCATTTTTAACACTTTATTGAATGCAGATCAAAGGGCAGTAACGGCATTCTCTGACTGAACTTAAAAACAATATTCAGGAGGTTTAACTTTGAAATGCAAATTTGGCTGCAACATCTAACAGAAATAAAAAAAGTGCCCTACTATCTCCTCGATCAGCGCGGACTTTACCTCTCAGCGTGCGCTGTCGCGAGATTTAATCAAGTGCGGTAATTGCGGTGGCACGTCATGCAGCGCGGTGGGTTTCTTAATATCGCGATATATTGTTCTTGCGATTATTGCGACAGCCCTAGTCACCACCATAGACCATCCATATGTGGATTGCGCATCAGAAATCAGCCCAGTCATCACAACCACAAATTTCAGACTTAATTATTAAAATTATAAGCGATGAGGCTATTTTTAATACATTCATAATGTTTTTTTCTCAAATAAACCATCTTCTGCCTATAAACAGCTTGTAAGAAAGCAAATGGAAAAGAAACTTGTTTATAGTTCAAAATTTCCATCCTTCCATTGGTAGGTCCTTTTCTATGGCCATGGAGGCCAAGGCTGAGTCGCCTCTGGCTGAGACAAACTAGTGACATAGTTGGACATTGATGATGATCAGCTTCTTTGAAAAAGTCTGTCTTGAAAATGGAACTGAAATAATCCCTGAGACCAAAGAAATTTCTTCTTCTCCATTAGCCATCTACCTAGTTTCCTATCTGTTGACAAGTGATGATGATGTTGGTGGACAGCTGATGACGGGTTTTACCCATATTACACTTGGAGGCGATTTTGGAGATCCACTTGTAAATTAACAGGTCGTAGAGCTACACGTGATGCAGCTCAACATTTTATTCAGTATTTTACACCTGCTACATCACTAAAGTCAGCCAGCCTTGTAAAGCTTTTAGCAACCATGACTCATTCCAGACTGCGGAAACTTACGTAAACCCTAGACAAAGCATGAGCGTATTTATTAAGAATGGCGCTTATTATCCTCATTCTCCTCTGAACACAAGTTATGGAAGTGCTTGTCTTATCCAGCATCCATCGTTTGTGTTAGAGGCGCCATTCCCTCTCATCCGCTTCATTGCAGGGGCAGGTCCCTTCCAAGTCCGGGCCAGGGGCGAGCAGCCCCCACTGAAGCTCCATCCCTGCCAGGTGCGTTGCAAGCTTTTCAAAAGTGTGGGGGATGTTGTCTGTGCCTATAATAATTTCATGTTATTCATCTTGTTAGTTTAATTTCCATAATAGCGGAGCAGGTGCGAATTTTAGACACGTCACGCATTTCTCAGTTTTAAACATGTTTAAAGTGTTCAGAATACAAATCCAGGCTCTGTCTCGTTAGATTGGTGTAACTAAAGTTTGTACTGAATGAAACTTTACATTAAACCATGTTGAAGAGAAAAGGATCGGATTAAATCGTTTTCCCCCTCATTTACAGTACGGAGTACATAGTGCGCATGGCTCTGGGGTTAATCAAGTTTAATTGTTTCTCTTTGCAACAATCTTCACAAGAAGGCAAAACAGTTGAATGGCAGGTTACAGATATTTTCATTTGACTGTTTATTTTGACGGATAAACTCAAGGATGTTGGTTGTTTTGAAAGAATGACCCCGACGCACACTGATGCACACACAGATGAGCTGACATTTTAATTGTTACGCACATCGCGGAGGTAACTAAATCAATCAAGAAACGATTCCCATCAGAACATCAGAGCTTTATACTGGACACTGTGCTCAGCGCAGCTCGCAGCGCACACGGTGGACAGTGAGCTGAAGATCTGTAGAGGGGTTCGCAGCGTAGTGCAGAACCATAGCGATGCGGTAATATTTCCTCCCACTGAAGCGGTCTGGAAACCCGGTCTCTCTGAGGGATGTGTCACTTGGAAAAATGTTCTCTGATTATGAAACTTTGGCTGAACAGCGCTTGTTCCCGTCTCTAATATGGAGACGCATGACGCATCCAGTCTGAGGCAGAATAGCCTCTTCAGCTCAGAAAGCACCTGTAGAGACATTTGATCACGCACAAAGTTCATGTGGAGCAGAAGCGGTCGGGCCACGGCAGGTGAAATGTAGCCTACATGAAGTGAAACTGTTTAATTGTAACATTAATGTGTTACTGGACACGCTGGTCTGGTTGCTTAGACCAGTGTTTGAAGTGGAAAACACACACAAACGCACCAATTAAAATAATACTGATGGCGTGGACTAGAAGACAGGTGATGGTTTACGTATTTAAATGATGATCAGGCTGCTGTAAAATGTAATCTCCATCCACATCCAGACAGAATTATCCTCTATTATGTCTCTATTTTCTCTGCTCTTGTCTGGGCTGACGTAGCTGATGGTGCGCGCGGCGCGCCTAACTAGCGGCTGTGATGCACATTTTACGCATTTGGAGAGGTGGGCTGGATTCTTTGCTTTTGCTGGAAGATGGATTTATTTTATTTTGTTTTTATTTTCAAAAATGTGGGAGATTTTGCCCCATGAATAACTAAAAACTACTGGTGTGCATGTACCCTTATGAAAGAGTCCTATATTGAGAGGTAAATATTAGAAATGCAGGTAATGCATTCTGGTGCCTATACATGAAAAAT